CGGGCAGTCGGACATCCCTTGAGGGGTCCCAGATTGGAGAGGGTGCAGGCTGGGATGAGGGACATACCCCACCCCTCCGTGCATGAGTTTCGTGCACGGGGCCTCTAGTTGGGAAATAAAAAAGAAAGAGCTATTCGCAGGACTCTAAGAATTGAGTACTAGTCACTACATGAAATGTATCTAGTAAGTGATAAGACTTTGTCCAGTATTATGGCCCAATAAGAATGTTTGCCCACATAAATGATTTCTTTAAGAAGTCATTTAAAAGGAGGAGAAATGGGAATGGCCATATTGTCAGGAAAGAAATTATAGTACAGTGACTACAAGACCACTAGAGTCTGAAAGACCTGAGAAAGAGGTGCACATGAAGGGCAGACCTTTTCATTCCTGGAAGTCAGGCACTCTCAGGCACTGGGTATGTTGTGAGGAGTAGGTCATGATCTCACCACTGTGAGTGGGAGGAGCGTTGGGGGCTTGGCAAGTGGGGAAAGTTTGGCATATGGAACTAGCTATTCTAATTTATGCCAATTGGAGTGCTCTGAAACCCTTTGTATCCCCCAGTATTCTTTGTATAGGGTTGCTGCAGAGATTTGGGATGTTTTGCAAACTACTGTGAAGGACTGACTGGAGCTTCTGCATTCAATTTTGAAAGTAACACAAATTTGGGGTGCAAATATTTGAAGTCAGGACTGAGGTTCTCCCTCTCATTGTAGCTTTTTTCTCTGGCCAGTAGTTAACAATCCCATAGAGCTTGGGACTAGAGAGCTGAAGTTGAGCCATTTTGTCATTTTTCTGAATCGTTAGTTGGTTTCCTTGGCCATGAGTGGTTCCTTTATAGGAATTTGATATGTTATGGCCTCTACTGGTCTGTTATGAGAACTCCAGAATCTCATGGGGAATGTTACAAACGCCCCACCTAGCTGCATCATTTATACAGGGTGGGGCAAAAGTAAGTCTACAGTTGTTTGTATGGAAACTAATACGATAATTAATAAGTAATAATATAAGAATAAACTTTGTTTTGAGTACTCAAAACTGTAAATCTACTTGTGCCCCACCCTGTATACTAATTTATTTAGAGTAATCCTGTATCATTCTTCTCCTCTTAAAAATGCTCTGTTTTCTTAGTTGTAGGCTAAGGCTTTTCTACTAGAATATTTATGTTTAGCTTGTGATTAAATTTTTGTCTCATTATATGAACTCCATGGCTTAAATGAGGAAGAATTTACTCATTTACTATATAATGGATCTGTTGTAGGCAGTGAGAATGGTACCAGGTGCTAGATCGGTGGGGTCAGACCAAATCTGGGTTCAGCAACCTCTGTACCTGAATTCTGGCTAGGAAAGAATTCAGAGTTGAGACTCAAACTATAAGAGAACTTATATTTATCACAGAGGTGGGAGTAATTCCTAGAAGTAATGGGATTAGGAAACAAATTATAGAGGTAAAGGAAGGTCCTTTGGAGCTTGGGAGTGAGGAAGGTAATGGTTAACGTGCCTGGGGGCCAGAGGGGAGGACAGGGAAGGCATGCCTGCTTCCGGACAGAAGAAGCGCTAGGTCCTCTGTCCTAAGGGTTTTAAGGGTGGAGATTTTAGGGGAGGGTCCCAGGAAAAGTTCTCAATAGAATATTCAGCAGTTTTCCAGGTGTGTCCTTTGAAGGTTGTGGTCTCCACTGATTGATTGGAGGGCACCAGGGAAGGGTCATTCTTCAATGCAGCTGGTCTGGAGGTCAACTGTAGCTGGTTTTGTTTCTTTTCTGGGCCTGGAGCTGAAATACAGCTGAAGCCTACGTGTTATTTCTAGGGAGGAAAGGTAGGGGGTCAAA